CTGAGATCAAGTCTGACTTTTAAGTAATTGGTTTGATCATTTTAATGTGAACAAGATTGTCAGTTACAGCTTTCTTCTGAGAATCGGATGTTTGAATCTTTAGGTGCCATAAATCTTAAAAAAGATCTGAATTTCCAAAACTCGAGTCTTAGGTTCCTTTTTTTTTTTTTTTTTTTTAACTCATTCTCAAATTTTAAGAACTGAATAAACCTTTCAACTCAGAATTATGGAAAGATTAGTTTTATTGATGCTCAGTAAAAGTGTTCGCTACAAAAATATTGCAGTTTGAGTGATATGAGAGTCACTAAAATCACTTTGTGGTGGTCCCATACTATTTAATGTGGCATCTATCAAAATTTGACAGAATTTTCAAGTTACCAATGTCTTGCTTACTTGAAAATCTCAAATTGGCTTGATAATTCTAGATTGGATAACATATTACAAATAGATCTTGTATACTTTTCATAGCTCATGGTATACTATATAAACGTTGCAACCTGACTCCAAATGTCTGTAAGTTGAGTTATGTTTAATATTAAAATGAGTTTTTCTTCCTATTTGAAAGATTTCAAAAGTTCAGATATTCTCAAAAATTCAGGATTTGGTTTCAAATCCGAGGAAATTCGGAGTTTACTCTATATTCAGTTTTTTCCCCCTATTATTTGGGGGTACTGTCATAAATCTTCCAATCATTTTTGATTGATGCCATACTCTATAAGAAATCCTAGATTAATTTCTGGTAATAGCATTTATGCATTTTATTTGAAAGTTTAACGCAAAAGCATGCGAGGTCCCTCAAACATGGCATTTTGAAGTGACAAGCTTTTTAAATAATATCTGCAGGTGACTATAGAAAATCAGTAATAACGTTTCAAAACGAAAGTTTAATGGCACAATCCAGTAGAATTTTACAGTGCATTGTGTAAAGTTTGTTGTAATCAGGCAATGGATCACAGTAGTCTTCCACTGGCCCAGTGGCTTGTATCCTGTCCAGGCTTTCTTATCTTATCTAATCATTGTACCTTATCTCGTTCATCAGCTGAGAATGATAGCTCGGTTACATCGAAACTAGTTCTGTGAAAATTTGAAAATATAACGCTGATTTTTGTTTGACTTCTGAATTAATATTTGTTCGGCATGTTATTGTATCTTAATTATGTTAATCATGTGTTATATCTTCGTTAAGGTACTCCTTGAGTTTTACATAAGTTAAAAGTAAACTCGTCAGTTATATTAAATACCAGTGAATGTATACTTCTAAATAAGAGTCTCTTTTTGAAAGAAGTGTCTGATACACTGCGGTAAGTTTTAGGGAGGTTTAATTATTCTTATAGACCCAGTTGTAGTTAAGCAGCAGCTAGTAAATAGTCGGTGCTAGTTCTTTACACTGCATTTTTAGACTTCGTAGCTATATTTTAGCCATAGAATTCTTATGATTAGAGGTATAAGGATTTGAATTTGTAATTCTTTTGATGAGTGGCAGATTTCTTAGTGTGGGTGTTTATAATATTTATTCAGTTTACTGAGATGGTTTTTACCATTTGTGCTGGTAAAGAATATTCTAATTCTTGTGAAGTTATAAGTTACTCGTTTTTCATTTTTATAAAAATGATTTATTTTGTTAATATTTTAATGTATTTTCAGTATGTTGATTATGTTGGGAGAGAACTGGTAGTGTAAAATTTGCAATTAAGCCAAAAAAAAAAAATAATGCAACCTTTGTTTGGCATAGCTTGCGAATAAAATCGTCTCGATTTCAAGGGCTATCAAACACAGATCTGTCTTCTTCAGATGCAAAAGTAAATAAATATGTAAATCAAAATTAGAATTTAACTCTATAATAACCACTCAATTCCCCTCTCTTTTCTAAAAATCGCAATATCTTTTCTGGACTGTGTCATTTCTAGATCAATCCATATAGCTTGGCTTGCATAATGCTAATGATGTAGCTAATTTGGAACTTCAAATCAGAATTTAATATACAGAATTACATGCTGGAGCAATGGAAGAATGCAGCAAGGAGAAGAGGCAACATTTAGCAAGCTCCTGTATGATAGAGAAATAAACTATGCAGCTAGTTGCTACTTATATTAGAAGTTCAGCTTTAATCTGATTGGCCAAGGAATTATGCAAAATGCGGATAGTTTCAGAACTAATTTTCAGATATGACGCATTTTCAAATTAAAAAGAGAAATTAAGATACTGTTGCTAATTTCAAGTTACATATTTTTTATTTTACATATATATATATATATATATATATATGGGTTAATAACTTTGTAATTTCTTACAACGTCATAAAACTATTGAAAACAAAGGTTTCTCCATCCAATCCCTGCCTTAATCAAGAGGTGTTCAAAACAGAGACATGAAAATATGCTCAAAGCTTTGGCATACAAAACTATAAATTCTAGCTACTGGGAAGAGGAATGGTTGCGAGTATGTACCAATGGTTCTAGAATAGGTGATCTCGAGTATGTACCAATGGTTCTAGAATAGGTGATCTCGCTAATGCCAGTGCAGGTGTTCATTGTGAGTTATTTCCTTTATATGCACCCATTGGCTCATATGCAGCTGCTCTTGATGATGAAATTGTGGCCATCTACCAAGCTCTCCTACAACCACAGACTGATCTGAAGCTTTTTTCAAAGGTGGTCTTCTTATCAGATTCCAGAGCCACCTTTCAAGCTATTGATGTACAGAGTGATTCCTGCCCTTCAACTGTCGATTGCTGTTTTGATCTTTTTAATTGGTTGTCAAGTAGTGACAGAGATGTTGTACTTCAATGAATTCCTGCCTATTGTGGAAATGAGGTCACCGATTTCTTGGCCAGAAAGAGAGCTTCTCTCGTTCAAACATTACAGCCTGGTCTCCCCTACAGTTCTATCAAGTCAGTTGTTAGGAATTCCTTTTCCAAGGTTCCGAGATTCCTTTTTCCAAGAACTCTTATAGAGAAATGGAAATAAACCATAGTTTAGACAGATTCTTGAAGTATCCGAATGGCCTAGAAAGAGCTCTATCAAGTGTTCCGTCTTATGCCTGGCTTTGACTGTCTTTGTAACCACCTTCAACATATTAGAGTTGCTCAAAACTCTTTGTCCCTTATACAATCTTAAGGACGACATGGACTGCCACATCTCGGCAAATGCCATGACCTTCCTCACATTTCGATTTGGGAGCACTACGAGAAATGCCTAGAGTTTACAGATATACTGATGTCAATTTTCTAGTCTTTCTTTTGTATTTTATTTGATGTTCAGTTGCCTTGTAACATGCCATCAGAAATTTTTAAATTTCTGAAAACTTAGGAGAGTTGATAGTGTAATAGACTAGGAGAGACTTGCAGATGTGGCTGAATTCAGTTATTTCCTTTTTATTTATGGTTGACACATTTTTTATCAAGACAATACCAGTAATATGGCATTACAGTGCCTTGATCTTAAAGAATTTTTACATCAATTCCGATAGACTTGTGAATTACATTTTTGAAGAAAGTAGGCAGCGCGAACTTGCAGCAGTGAAGCAGAAGCAAAAAGTGATGCATTCAGAAGAATTGTGGGAAGATAAAAGTCCAAAAGGTTTTGGTTTCAACTGAACATTTTAATCTGATTGGATGAAAGGTAGCTGCATGCCTGCATTATGCAAGATCTTATGATGCAGTTTAGACTGGTATATTATAAATAGTTACTATTTTTATGGAAGGGAAGTACCCAAATTCAAATGAAAAGTAAAATCGACTATTGCAAATTAAAGTTAGAAGTTTCTCTTTTAATCTTAAACATGCATAAAGTTAAAAAAAATCTGAAAGGCTTCAGATTTTAATGATCATCCGAAAGGTCTTTTTTAAAGTTTATTGATATTTATTCATATGGTTTATTGATAGAGATTGCCAATGGAGATAGCCCGGGTGGAATAGCAAAACATTTTATAGGATATTAAATAAATATGCATTTAGGCTTACATGGTAATATTACATATCTTCTGTTGTTGAAAGTTGAATTCTATAAAAATATTTGTTTTTAATTAGATATACTATGAATTAAATGCATTTTTATTTAAATCAGTCGTATTAAAAATAAAATAATAATTTTCTTAAAAACTGCATCTGTTGCTTTTAAAAAGTTTATTTGTTAACTAATAACAGACTGTTTTTCCAGATGGCAACTGACTCAAATAAAAAGTGAAATGATGAATTAAAAAGAAATAATGCAAAATAATCTTTCGAGACTACTATCCCTTTGGGGCTAAAAATGTGGGACCCCTAAATATGCGTCTGATTGCCCTTGACATTGATAGTTTTATTCGATATCAGTCCCAAATTAAGATTGCTTTTTGCCTAACCTTAAATTTTACTTTAATATATATTTTAACCTTAAATTTTACTTTAATATATATTTATAATATATAATTTGTAAAGAAAAAGTTACTATTTCTGTTATCTGACTATGAAAGATACATGTAAAAGCAGAACGTCTAATTTTTTAGTGATTGAGTATGTGAAATGGAAACTCATTGTTCGAGCAAAAAAATCTCAAGGCTCAGTGTAGTTAGTCTATGCGTAAAAAAAGAATGCATTTGCTGATGCTTTCAAGAATGCTTTTGTTAGTAATGAATAAGTTATTATTGCACCATTATTTTCATTGATAATTTCTATAATCAAGGTTAAATTTTCTGAATTTCTTTTTAAAATCTTATTGTAATTTTTATATTGTTCACTTTATCATCTCTAAAATTTGCCTTTTTCTTATGACCCTGTTTTGATTTTATTGCAAGATACTGTTCATTCATGTAATTTTAAATGTCTTCTACATAGTGTTTAGGGAATTGCTGCAAATTTTTTTAATGCTGTTACATTAGAAAATGTAATATTTCAGATGACTTAAGTTATTTTTTCTTTAAAGGCACTAGCTTTTTAATTTTAAATAATAGATTAAGGTACTTTTGTACTTTAGTTTTTGTTTATTATTCGGTTTGCTTAGCTCCTGAATCATCATTTTCAGGACAGCCCTGAGACTATAAATATGGACCCAACTCCGTGGTCACCTTACAGCCAGCAGCCATATTCTCACCTGAGCAGTGGATCACCACATCTTCCATCATCTGCTCCTCATGAAGAATCACTGAATAATTATGGGAGTGGGAACTCTAACCCACTGCTCATGTCATCGTGTCATCAAGGAATAACACCATTGTCATCAAGAACAAACATTGATCCTCCACCTCCACCTGCATTGCCAAACTCAAACTATGATGCTCTTATATCCCCTCCGGCACCTAATACTAAAGAAACAACTGATTTTTTTAGCGAGACTTTATTTAATGGAGTCTGCAAAGAAAATCAGTCTGGAATACGTAATTTTATACAGACGCAGGTTTCTGCATCTCGAACTGAAGGAAATAATTTTCCTGCTTCTGAGAGCATTACTGGATATACAGGTCAAGTGCCATCTATTTCTTTTCCTCCTAATATTGATCGTCCTTCCCCTGGTCCGTTTGGTGTGCTCCCACATGAAGCTGTAATGACCCGCCCAGGTCGGTTTGAGAGGAATAATGAAAAGTTTATCTCTCCTGTCTCAAAAACTGCATCTGCATCATATAACAATGGGCCTTATACAGAACGTGATGTGACTAGCATTTATTCCTCTGCTCCACTCTCGGCGCAGTCTGCTTTCTCGGGTGATAATACTTCTCATTCTCCTGCTGTTAACTCTGTCACTTCCCCTACTATATCTAATTTTTCATCACCAAATGAATATTATTCCAGTCCAAAAACAAATTTTGGAGCTTATAATAGTTTACAGAGCCCAGTGCCTCAAAGTCCTTCTGTGGCTCATTCGTACCCCTCCTCCCCATTTGCAAATGTTGATCCTGTTAGTCATATTCCTTCAGCTACACCATGTTCACCTATGAATGGTGGAACTTACGTGAATAACTTGAACGCAGTTCCTCAGAGGAATGGCCAGAAAGCACAGCATAGCCCAAGTAATAGCGGTGCTAATAATGTCATGTGTTATAACACTCCACAGTCACAAAACATGGTTCACCATGGACCACAGTCGGTGTTATCTAAAACACCTGATTATCATTCCGACTATGTCTTTGCACATGATCATAATACGCCATCATATTCATCAGTGTATCCACCCATTCATCCTGGTCAAATGAGCAGTGGAAACAGTGCAAGGATATCTCCAAGGACGCATTCTCAACATCTTAATTCTATGTCTCATGATAGCAGAATGCAGTATGGACATTCTGCTGCATTATCATCAGCTTCGGTAACAAATCCATCTTACTTACAAAATAAAATTAGTCATGAAGCCCCTTATGGAGCTTGTTCTTCCAGTATTCCACCTGGGCAATCCATGCATCCTCCCAGGTATCCGTCATGTTCATCTGCAATGAATACACTAAGAAACAATTCAATACACCCAAATCCTTCGATGATTCCCAATCACATGGGAGGGGACCAGCAATTTGGTTATCCATCAGCTGACATAGATGATAAAAATGCACTAGATATATTCAACTCTCATGTTGATTCTGGAGCTCATAATCATGACAGTTCCATTTCCAATTTTTTGGAAAATGATGACCTTAAAATATTAGATGCAGATACAGACATGTTGACCAACAGGCAGCTGAAGCCTCCAGAGCCAGATGAAACTCGTCAGAATTGCTCTGGTAGTCTGGACACTCCGAACAGAAATGTAGTACCTCATCCTTCTGTTTCTAATGCATCTCAGACTAATGAAATATCATCAGTCAATATGAATTATTCATATAATTCATGTAGAGAGCAACCTATTAGGCCTGGAAACCTCTTATTTCATTCTCCTAGGAGAAGAGGACGGCGAGGTAGAAGAAGAAAAGCAGATAGTGGCAATATGTGTACTAGGTTTCAGTCATTCAAAAATGACCGCAATGTTTATAATAATGGCTATCCTATGCCGCCATCAAAAATTTTAGATTATGGAAATGTAGACTGTTATACTGCTTATCCCAAACGATTGTGTGACCAGAAAGAATTACCACCGGTGAACTATCCTTTATCAAGATATAGATCTGAATTGAAAATGAATGAGAATCAAAAGAAACCACTTCCAGTTTCAAAACCTGTTGAAAGTATAGAGCAGGAATTAGCATTCTTAGCAGAACTTCAGTTTCCAGATGAAGGTGAGAGAGATGCTCCACATACTTTCATGAAAACTAGAAACAAAGATATTGATGGATTTTTGCAGTGTTATAAAAACTTTCTAGCCAACAGAAAGGTGAAACCCGATTCAGAAGTAGAATCGGGCTCGCCAGAGAATAATAATAAAGCAAAGAATGATTATATCAATAAAGAGCATAAAGATCATAAACACAAAAGCCACAGAACTCTTCCTAAACTTATAATTAAAATGGGGCGATGCAATAATCCTGGGGAGTGGCGTTTAACCGAATCCTATCCAGAAAAAGTCTCTGATAGTGATGGAAGTGCCTCTGAAAATTCAGATGTTGTGTTATCTAGTCATAAATCTAAGCAAGATAATTGTGAGAAAAGCAGACGTTTGAAACTTACAGGTAAATTAAATAAGGTATCAGAAAGGTTTTCAAAGCATAGTGCCAAGAGAAAAAATGACTCTGTTGATCATAGTGATAAATATAATGACCTCAGAGAAAACCATCTCCATTTCACTAACTCTGAAACTCTTCCGGCAGGCAAGCTGAAAATAAAGACAGAAATAGACACATCACTACAGTGTGATGAGCAGCTGCCTAACATGCCAAAAAAGCGTGGAAGGAAAGCTAAGAAACCACCAGCAGTAAAAACAGATGCAAAAAAGAGAAAATCATCTGTTAAATCACCAGATCCCATTAACAACTTGGCTATTACTATTAAGCAAGAGATCATAGAAGAAGTTGCTTTCGAAAGTTCAAGACGATCTTCTCTCCGATCGAGGAAAAATGAATCAACTTTAAAGGAAGTAGAAGCTGGTAAGTATTTATTTCTTTATTTATATTTTATATTAAGCAGTGTTTTTATAATTGTTGGTATGCAACCGCATTTTTTAAATCTTTCTTGAATGTATTACTGTCTCATAAATGATTATAATTTAGTAAAAATTAGAATAGTGAGAAAATTCATAATACGCAACGAGAGTTTTAGAATCATCACATAGCCTTTGTAGAGATTTTTTTATATATGTAATAGTAAGATTTGTTGTATACTTAGTTTTACTTTTTAAAGGTATAGTTTTTCAGCTTCTGATATGAAAATGCAAGTACCTGCTGCAAGTTAAGCTGGTAAAAAGTTTACTAGTTAAGTTTTTGTAATTGTAAAAAGCTCCTTTCTTTTTAATATCAGAAATAAAATTTTGGTGGCATAAATGTGCTAAAAAGTGTTGATGAGGCAAAATTTACCAAACATTTCTTTCCATATGCTAAAATTAGATTTTGTTGATACTCATAGACCCAAAGATTATATTTAGGGCTATTTGAATTAAGAATAACTGATTTGTTATTCATATAAACCCAGAACCAGCCCCAGGCCTCGTATGGCCGCACTAAGTCACAGAATTTATGACCCACGGTGACTGCATCAGGCAGTAAGATATCTAGCGCCGGCCCTCAAGTATATGTCGGAATTTATGTATTCAGAACTCTTATAAGCCTAGTATGTGGAAGAAATAGGCATAAGTATAATAAATAACTAATACAATTCAGGTTTAATTGTCTCAGTGCTCGATAGAAGCAAGATAAAATTTAACGGAATAACTTGTTGTTAATTGCCAAACTCATGATGCATAGCCAAATATGTATGGTCAAGAATAGCTAAATTTGATGATGATAGCCGCGCTTTTAAAGGGCTTTTCACATGTCGCAAAACAAAGGTGAAATTTTCCAATTATCGGATTTTGGAAAGAAATGTGGAGAAGCAGTAATAAATGAAAATGATTTAAAAGAAGTTTTTCATTGTGATGACAATGCTTCTCAATCATCAACTGATTAATGAATGGCGAAAGCTGTAGTATGGTTCTAGATCCAGAAAATACCCCCTACCGATAGTGTAGAAAGTGACAAAGAAGTTACTGAAAACGAGAAAATTTCAATTGACAAGTTAGTCAGAATTCTCGGAACAGCAGTTACAGGACTTTAACAATGTAACTGAACAATAGATTATTTCTGTCTACAGAATTAAAGAGAAAGTATTAGCACAAAAAATGAAGCAACTTAAACAACTTAACATTGAAAGAAATGTTTAATAAGGTAACAAATAAATTTTTTTTTTTTTATATTTATACCCTTTAGATCATAAATACTTCATTATTTCATAAATCACGATTTCGTATTTTTAATTTTATAATTTTTATGTGCCGTCTTACTAGATTTAAACTGATGATCTAATATCCAGGAAAATCCCAAATACAGAATCGCCGAAGTCTTGACGAGTCTGGATTTTCAAAATGTTATCATCGTAGAGGTTCAGTCTCTTAAATAAATAAGATCCCAATTTTTGCAGTCGTTAATGACGTCCTTGTAATGGACAATAATGCTTGCCTTTCATTTATCTTGAGTATAAATGAAATCAGCTGATGGAGTGGTCCGTATATTCTTTAGATTTAAGTACAGCAAAATGTATTGGACACACTAGGATGCCAGCTTTCATCACTGGAACTCCACCAAACACTTTGCAGAACTTCAAGGTGTTACTAGTAAATACGTTTTATTACCGCAGGAACTTCTGGACAATCTAATACAGAGGAGAAAAAAATCACTGTAAAGCTTGCATTTTGGTAAGGGATCACCAGGCACTTTGTCTCTGAGAAGTTTTACCACCAACTTTCCGTTGCTGTACTTAATATCACATTTCCTATATTACTGATTAAATTTACTTTTTGGAAGTAAGGCTATTTTGCATTTTGTAGCTATGTCAGATATGACAATATAAAGATTTTGGGCAAATGTATTCAAGTTACAGGAGTTTTTATACTTGTTTCCATCAGCTTCTTAATATTGGGTACAGTATAAAATTTTTCTCACCAGTTTGTTAGTATAAATCATAGGTTGCAAATTTCATTGACTTTGATGAAGCACGATCATAAAATTTTTACTAAATTTCACGATTTGTCATATTACTATCTTGGGCATGGTATTTCATTGATTATTCCATAAGCTATTCCATAAGTTTGGCCTTTTTTCGTAAGGTAAAATTACCATCCTAACCACACTATAGCATTCTTTCATTCTTTTCAGCCCGTTTATCAAAACAAAATGTTTCTGCTCTATTTTGACTAATTCGTTGTTGTTTTTTTTTCCTTTCAAGATTGTCCTGATTATCAGCATATTTTTCAACTTCCTATTTTTGAACCCTTTCAGCAAAATAGTTAAAAATTCTATAGATATTTTACATTGACCATATATTTAAATTTACTTCTAAAGGGATTTTGTATAGATTTCACATCTATCTTTTATTTTCTAAGCACATTGCCATTTCTTTAACATTTTATCAACAGATCTTTGTTTGATTCATTTACATAATGTAAACTATCAACTTCCCTTTTGTAAGTAACTTTTCTGTGGCATTGCTTTGGAAGGTCATTGTAATACTGGTTTCTCTTTCAAACCTAAGTCTTGTCCATAAAGACATCTGGTTGTTTTACTTTTCAGTAGATGAATTTTCTGACAAGTAATCTATTAGAAAGGTTATCATTTGAACATGTTTTGCTCACCCCTATTCTAATTAACCAATTTCTGCCATTACTTGATAATTGTTCCTACATCCAACATATTGTAATTTTCATCTCTTAGTTCAAATATGAGAAATCTTTTATGGAAAAGACAGTTTATTTTGATCTTTTTAACTAGCAATATATATTTTTCATATTTATAAGAATATTTTGGTTTAAAGTCTTAAAAGGGTATGGTATGTATGTCCATTATTAAGGGAAAAAATTATCATGCACAAGCTGTAAAACTTAAGCTATTGTCTTTCAGAATATTTATTTCCATGGAATGTGTAGTCTTTTTTAGACAGTATATATATATTTTTTAGACAAAATATTTGGGAATAAAAGTTATCACCGTGTAAATTAATATGAGTAAAACTGTAAGCAGGTACTTGTTCAAATGGCCACCACATAAGCATTTAGCGACATTTGAAATTTATTAGGCGGTGTTGATAGTTCTGAAGACCAAGTGCAATGGTTACTTTAACAGTGTATGTATATTTTTTTGGTACTTACGTCTTATCACAAACACCTTAGTAGAAGTCACAAAATTTTCAGAATGTCTCAAACTCTGGCAATCTTGCACATAGAGCAGCATCCTTCAATCAAGCAACATTGCCATTTTCGTATATACTGTTAGCCATAAATAGGCAGTGTTGCTGAGGGGTGTGTAGTGCTGAGACTCTTCAATTTTTTAATGTTTTCCAAGTGAAAACAGATCGCTGTATCCTTAAGAAAAATAATAGTGTAAAAAAAAAAAAAACCCAGAAAGATTTGAAGATGGATGTTTTACAATTACTTATGTAATTCTTTTTTTTTTTTTTTTTTTTTTTTTGTTGTTTTTATTGCTGAAGTATGTTGACTTTTCATACATAACTAATATTTGCTCACTTATGACAAATATCGATAGTTTGGGTGTTTTTTTTTTTTTTTTTTAAAAGTCATGAAAACTATCAAATTTTATTTTTTCATCTGTAAAAAATCGTCAAGATACACAAAGGTGGTTGCTTTAATACGCAAGTACCATATTTTCATTTATAAATACCATTTTTGATAGTATTTCTTTATGTGTGTGTATTTTGTCTATGTGCTATCTTTGGCTTTTAGGACCTTCAATTAAAAAAGAACCAATTGAGCTTAGTGATGATGAAGTTGACATTATAGATGATTCGGACTCTGATCCCGCATGGACACCATCTTCTAAAACTCCGAAGGTAATAAAAATGCTAAAAATATATCATTGAAGATTTTTCAAGGCAACTTCAGTGAAAATAAATAACAGTTCTTAATTGACTGACTGGCCTGTTAGAAAAATGATTTTTTTATTGTAAGACTCTTGGTTTATATGGGACATAAAACCTCATCAGTAATGCCTGTGTTGAAGCAGTGAGCTTAACAATGCAATGTTAATTACAAACCTGGAATTGTACCATAAAATGTTACATCAGTATGGAATGAACGATACCGCATCTATATGATGGTCACAGACTGTGTAGCTTCTCAACAGCTGGCACAGCATTATTGCTCACCTACATGTATGTGAATGGGGAGTTGAAGATATCCTTAAGTAAATAACACTTCTACACCACAGACATTTAATGAATAATAATAGAAAAGCTACAGATTTGAATTAAATAACAATACCATTGCACGTTCTCGCACTTGTTAGATACAAATACAGTTCTGCATGACTTGAAGTATTTAAATAGCTACACAGCACCTACTTGCGCTTGCTATTTTAACAGAGTTCTTTTGTTACCACCTTTGCGTGGAATCAACATCCATCTATCTTTTGCTCTCGCTGTTAGTTCATGCATGATGCCCTCTGGTGGCTGTGTTGAACTAACGGATACCACATGTATATATGTCATTGTCAGGTTCAACAGCTTGCAGGCATCTGCTGCACAATTTTTTATAGTCATACATGCATATCTCTGCATAGGATTCTTCATCTCCTCCCTCGAAAACCACTGATGCTTGTGGCTCCAGTGGGCTCATCAACAATGCCACTGGTGTGTTGATTGGCAGCAGATAGTCTTTTATGAAGAATCCTGCTTGAGTATGGAGTATATTGGTAGTCAAATACATATTAGATGCTTGGGTGGAAGGGTGCAACTTTCAGGAGTCCGTTATCATATGATAGGCAGTTCATCTGCTAAGAATTGAAGGTAGTGTCATCAGCAGCTGCTACATCAGGGAGGTTGTGGAGCTTAAAGTGCTGTACCCTTCATTGTCAGATATCACATCATCTTGGCTTGCCCGTTCACCAAATATGTCACCTGTTGAATTTGTGTAGGATTTAGTGCATAGGAACTTTGCTTGTGACATTTGTCACACATCCAGCATAAATCAACTTTAGGCTTGAATAGGAGGCAATAGATATGTTATTCATCAGGTACACAGTCAAAACCTATTTGATCCAGTGCCACATTAAATAGGAGCTTTTATTGGATCATTATGGTGGTTTCATCAAAATACTGATTTGGGGCATTTAATATTCTTGTATTATTTTGGGAATTTAATCATTATATATGGATGAAATTTCATTCAATTCTGATAATTCTTTCATCATGTTGCTCTTTTCATAAACAGGAGTATGGCTTATTTAAATTCTTAGTAGTTCCTGCTGACTGAATTGATCTTTGAGATTCTGTAGTTTTTAGCCATTATTTTTTAGATCCTTTTCCTTATTATTGCCATTCCAAATTTTTAACAATTTTTGTTCATGCAAAAGAAGCTTTTTCATGTTTGTTAGCCTTTTAATATGCTCAGCATTTTTTATGAAGGTTTCATTTTAGGAGTAACATATTTCTTTCTAAAATGAGTTGCATGTAGTTTTTAATGGAACAAATTTAATTAAATGGTTTGTAATTAAAATGAGTTCCTTTGGCATTCAGATTCATGAAAAGTGTGAAGATCATTATATTTTGCTATTCATCTTACCATTTCGTGATTGGAAATAGCTGCCTGCTAGTTATGAGACAGGTTTCATACATTGCTGTATTATTCAAAAAGTTGCCAGTTGTTACAGAGTCTTGTTTTAAATGCTAGTTGTTTATCTTCAGATTAATTGAAAGGTGTCCGTATGATTTATATACATGGTGTATTGCATATCATGTTTTTTCTATAATGTTAACAATTCTCATACTGTTTATTGAATAATATGCATTTATTGCTTCTGGCTAATACAGTTTTAATAGCTTCTAGTTTTGAGGGAATAAGTTTTTATCATTGTTTTATCATTTTTACCGTTTTTATCATTTGTTGCTTTAAATTTTTAGCTTTTGATTTTTTTTCAAAACTGTTGTGAAAAGACAAAAGTCACGTAGGAAATATATAATTTAGTTTAATAAAAATGTCATTTTAATTCATAAACATGATTAGTTGTTCTGACTGGAGTGTTGGTTATAAAGTATGGATACAGATTGTTTAGTTGTTGATGTTGTCTTTATATACACATCACACAAATCAACATACATGGCCTGTCCCTGAAGTAATAAGAACAAATAAATAACAGCATTTTTTATTTCCCATTATTGAAATAATTGTGATTACAGTTTCATTGTTCATTTGCTTAGTGTATCAAAATGAGTGTTTTCCGACCGAATACAGGAAAACTGCCTGTTTACATGGCAGCAGAAGAATTATTCCTATAAGGCATTTTTCAGACATTTCATCGCAGCTGCCTGGTTGGTAATTAGCTGTTGCTAAATGATGCACTTGAGTTAAGTTTTGAACTTGGAGAATAAAATTAGATTTAAGTTGGTGCCATATTTAGTGAAAAGCTCCCAGGCACACATTGATGTATGATAGTAGTTTTGTATTGAGTTGTGTACAGTAACTGAACTAAAAGATTTAAGTTTTAAAATCTGTAAAAAATAGCTGTAAATTTTACAGAACAGATGTAAATTTGAAGCTTGTCATTGTTTCATTTGCAGTACGGCCTTGCATTGTGAAGGGATATCTTCTGTTTAGACCTTACTTTGTAAATGTAGCATTTGAGTGTTAGTAAGGTTTTACAATGCATTTCAGATTTAAACTTTTCATTCCTTTAGGCAAATTTTTGTGTAAATTACAACTCTTTTTAAAAAAGATGCTGATTTCTTAATCTACTGAAGATGCTGTTGAATTTCTCAGCCTTCAGAAAATCTGGATGATATTCTGTGTATTTCATTAGCATGTAACCTGACATAAAATTTCTGTTGCTAAACAGTACTGTCCGGGGCCAGATTAACTGTACGAGACCCTAAATAACCACTTTTCTTGCCTTTATGATGAAAAAACAAGATCTTGAAGAAGTATGATGGGATTTTGATCCTTCTGAAATCTGAGGGTGTAGATCAGAGGTTCTTAACCTTATTCCCCGTCTGGGCACATCTGACAAATAGGAAATGCTGGCGGGGGTGCAGTTTAAAAAAAAGTTTAACAATTCTTAATATTTCTTTATTTTATTGCAATCATAAGCATCATAAACAATACCCTACATTAAAAAGGTAACAAAAAAATTCAAAATAGTTGCATTCAATGCGATTTTTGGCATTACATATAGTATATAGCGGACAGTCGCAGGCACACAAAAATAGCTTCACAGGCACATTGGCGCCCGCAGGCACGGGGTTAAGAACTGCTGATCTAGATGATAATCAGATCTTGCTGTTTGATGTACTGTATTGAGTAATGAATGCAGCTTCTCAAAGAATTGAAACTGAATTTATTTTAGCCAGTTTTAATTTAAATAGTCAGTTCCATGTAAATAATCTGACTTTGCAGAATCTCAGAATGCAGAGAAATAATGAGTAAAAAAAAAAAAAAAAAGATATATGCTTTCCCCCCCAAGAAAAAAGTGCTTTGGAAGCAAGATATTATGTTTCTTAGTTTAAAACTGCTATTAAATAATGTTCTTTCTCCAAATTTTTCTTTTATAGGCTACAGACCATATAAAATCCCACGGTATTCAGTCTGTGGTTAAAAAACGTGGGCCTAAGGTAGGAGGGCGAAGAAGTTCAGCTGGTAATGCCCCGGCTGCAAAGAGGGAAAGAAAGAAATCACGTGAATCTCAGCCAAGAAAGACTTCAACAGAAAAATCTGTACCTGCCACTGTTTGTAAGAAAGAAATATTAGAACCTGTCGTAAGAGTGAGAAAAGAAAAGGTGTGTGTTAATATTTGAAGTGCTTTACTTTCAACTTAATTGAAGTGCTATGCTTCTACAAAAATCCATCTTTTTTATACTAAACACCATTATGTGGGTTAACCACCCTCCATCTGTATTGTTTTTATAATGCACGCCATGCGTGTGGACAATTATTTTCTCCCTATACGATTTCATAATGGCTTATATTTAATATTACATTCCTATTTAACATTTATCAAGAAATACTGGAAAAATTAATTGAAAAATATATTTGTTGCACTGTAAATGTTAAGTCTATTGTAGTATATCTCTGGTTTGTACATGAAATTTTATTTGCATGTGAACATAGGGAAGACTGAAGGGGAAAATTAAAAGAATTGTTGGTGCATTTTAAAGATTCTAAAAAAACAATGAATCCAATGCTTGTTGCATTTTCGTAGTATGTTTGAGCATGTTTTATTAAAAAGTTTGCTTATTGGTTATGCTTTTCATGTAAAATTAAAATGGGCATTGCAGGGTAAAAAAAAAAAAGTATTTAAAATATGCTTATGTGTATATATTTGTTATAAAAATAGTAAATGAAGTGAATAATTGAGATGAGTGTTTGTCGTAGGGTAGTAAAGAATATGTCTGTCACTGCTATTTTTACTGCCAAAATATTTTAAAAGATGTGAAGTGTACACATTTCGCATTTCAGTATTAAAAATTAACATATTGAAAAGATATATATATATATATCTTTTTAACATTTCATGTACTAATCTCAGTGTCTTTTTAATGTACTTTTCGTAAATCTGTGTGTATTTCCCAATTTTTGATTTCCTTGTAATTTTTAATCATGGCAACAAAAAATTTGTTGTATCAATAAAAAAGCTGTGAAAAATTTGTGTTGCGTAAAAAAGGACTGAAATCTGTTTCAGTACAACTCTGATGCTTTGCTTAAGAATTCCTTTTATGCTAAAACTAACACCTTTTAAAGAAGTCAGCACATTAATTTTTCATTTTTGTCTATTTGATTGGTTTTTCATATAAACATTAGTCCATTTCTAATATTGTCTTCCCTATTATTGAAGTACAAAGCAAGTTATGTTTGCTTTGTTATTTATCAGTACTCTTTTTATTATTATTATTATTCAGGTTCTTCATTTTATAAGTTCATATAGATGAGAAAAGATTTTCAGAAATGGAAATGGCATTCAAAAAAATCTTTCTCAACTAAATTGACAATTCATAAAAATACATTAATTTACTATATTTTTAATCATTACCTTGTAATTTAAACATCTCATCTTTACTGTTTAATTTTTGGATCCACGATATTTTTATTCAAATGCCATATAATGGAAGAAGTGTAGTATTAAGATAAGGAAATTCTTTATGACAGCAGAATTGTTAGTTATTCCTCCTAACAAAATTAAGTAAAATTGTTGAGCTCACATAATTAATTGAGCATAAAAAATATCTGATAATAGTCTTCAATTCATTATATTGAAGCTATTCTTGCTCATTTTCGTAATTTTTTATTTTTAGCATAGAATAACAAAAAGCAAGCCATTTAACCTTGGTATAATATCCTTTTATGTCTGCAGTATAGTTTTCATTATTATATTATGCTAAATAAGTATTTGTGGGTATGAGCAAAGATGTTAATCTATTTGTATGAACATGTAAGTACATTGAGTGTTAAATGTATAAATATATTATTAAGTTACTGTATAAAAGTGTTGTGCACTTAGTAAATCTAGATTTCTTGTTTCTTCTCATATTTGTATTTTTATCACATGTGGTAATTATATTCAGAAGATTTCTCATATTATAAAAACATTTCTGCTACTACAGTTATTTCTATATAATTTTCTTTATACTAGTATTCCTTTTATTTATTGAATAAACTAGGAAAAATTAATTTTTTAACAATATGTTAAAAAATAATGTTTTTATGTAATGATATCCTGCTGTAAATTAATGGGTCAGAATAAAGTAATCATTTAAATTATCTGATATATGTAAATTAAGCTTAGTGTAGCATGAATATCACTATCTTACCACTGGAATAAGAATTTTAAAATTATATGACACCATTTCCCAAAGGAATTTCCAAAAGAATAGCACATGTTTCTCTTCTGGAGGTGCAGCAAAATCTTCGACATATTTTTCCATGAAATGTGTACATTTTATGTGATTATTTTTTCTGATCCTTAAATTTAGCTTCACTTTCTATTTTCATTGAAAACAAACAGAATTATCATGGAAGTGTGAAAGAAAGTGAAATTTTAAGTAACTTCCAAGATGTGACTCGCATTATTTTTTGTATCGCTTGTGGATCCCAATTATTTCATGTGATAAGCCATAATTCTGCCTAAATGCCAAGGTACAGACAGTCCTTCCATGGTTTTAGCATCACTTTGACTAAAAACTGCTTTGAAGCATGTGGGCGACAAAAGAATTATTGAAATGTTAAGAATCGTTGGTCCTACTCTACCATTGATAGCCATTTTTACTGTATAGTCTGAACTGTTCCTTTTATAATTCTGTTTTTACAGGTACTTTTATGTTTATAGTAACATTCATTTTCAACTGTGAGAAAGGACCGAAATGCAGCATACAGAATGTTTTGAATTTGCAAACAGCTAGATGCAAGTTGACTGAACTGTTGTTGTATTACCAACTGATTTGGATGGATCAGCTGTCAGCCTGGTGAAAGAAGCATGAACTTTTGAAAAGAATTATATTTATTAATCTTGCTTACAGTTGAAGATTATGCGGTCTGTATTTCTTATGAACTAAATGGAAAATTGGTTAAAATTTGCAAACATTCACATTTTTAACTATTTGATGTCCAATGCTTGGATTTGGCTGACAAAAGTCCATTTGATCATCCTCAGATAGCCCGTATGGCTATGCATGAACAAAAGGATGCTAAAACCTATGCCATGAAGACAAAAGTATTTCTGTTCTTGTGCTGAAAAATAGCTATGTAGATATGTAGTTTCACTGTGTATGTGTTTTATTTTGTCTTATCTATTATTAAAATTTTGGAAAAAGAAAATAGTCTTCATTACTTTCAATCCTCCCTTATATAATATTATGCTGTGTAAAATATCAAATCTATCTGGATTAAAATTTGGAAAACAATGCAATTACTTCACAATTAAATTAGAAAATAAAAATTTGAGATACGCTGTACTTAATAAAAGTAGATAGCTATATATTGTTTTTAAGGCATTCAGCTTATCAGCCTTTTTTTTTTTTTTTTTGTCATAAAACAATTTTCAGTGCATATCTTGAAAATCTCAAAACCAGAGCTAATGTTTAATGCAATTCCTATTTTGCTGTAAATTATTCCAGGTACTACAGATATCATCATGTATTGTAGGAGCCTGGTCATATAATAATGCAGGTATTTCTTACAATAATGGTCAGAAAAATTTGGGATGTAGCAAAATCTGTGGAATGGTAGAAACTAGAGAAACCAGGATCTGAAAAATCTTTCCAACATTGGTTTATGGCAGATTGGGGGACGAAGTTTAAAGAATTTCTAGATTATATTTTGTAGTCCACTTCCATTCTCAAAGCATACTTTCAATATCACTTTTTTTTTTTTTTTTCCTGTGCCATTTCCCAATATAAAATTGCATTACCTAGCTGCAATAGCTTTTTTAAGTAGACTGAATATCATCAGTACAATTTAACTTTTCTCTTTTGCATGAACACTACATATATTGAATTTAAAAGTGATTAAAGTTTTTTTTTTTTTTTTGTAAGAAAAGGATATATTAAATGCTCGGCATTTAATTATAATGATTAATTGCATTTTACTTTGGTACTATCGTAACTTTCTAGCACTTTTCATAGATAATTAATATCTTTTTTTACCATTAGAAATAAACTTAAATTTATTTGTTAACTGTAAAAACTGTTATTCATAACACTTTTTTTAATTTACGTATAATTCTGCAGTGCACTGTTTTCCTTTTTGATTATTGTAGGAAAATTTCTACCGAAAGGTAAAATCTAAAACTGTTCTGCATTACCAATTTAAAAAAAAAAAAAATCCGTATTCATAGAAATTAGACAAATTACTTTGCACATTTTCATAAATTCTTCACAATGAAGTAGCTTTACATATGCAAACATACGCTGTAGACCAATTTCCTGTTGTATATCGGTGTATGCGATGTTTAAAAAATGATTCAATGACTGATCTTTGGAATAGGTTGGTGTGTAAGTGCACAAGTTCATTTTTAAGAAATTAATCAAATAACGTTATGTTATTATGGACATTGTCTACGTCTTTTAGTAAAAATATATGAAGTGGATGTTTCTGTACAGTCTCCCGAAGAAATACATGATCACTCAGCTGGCCAAATTAGACAAAACTAGTGTGTCCTCAAAATTACTGTAGTATTAAGTTTTACTGCACTTGCAGTTTTGAATACAAAGGTACATTCTCTGTTAGGAAAATATAAGTATGTGAGTATGGGTTTCAAAATTGTTACTTGTAACATGCTAAAATTTAAAAAAAAAAAAAAAAAAAAAAAAAAAAGCTATTAAGTGTTTTATGGCCCTAAAGTCAAGATTTCCTTTGTAAATAAAGGTGTCTCAAAATTCTAAATTTTTTCAGGGCTAATTTTACATTTTAGTAAGATAAATGATTTAATTGAAATTTCCGTTGGCACGTGTAAAATAAAATCCATTACTTTATTAAACTATTTCATAGTGAATGACACAACTATATATCATGTTGCCAGAAATCCTATATTTCTTCAACAGGAATCGTGAATCTACAACCAACTATTAAAGAAATATTTATTCATGCAATCTTTTATGAACACATTTTACAGTAAAATGAGGTGAGAGCTAATTGTGGAAGATGATTAGTTTGAAACATAATAATGGATAATTTTGAGATTTGAAAATAAAATAAAAAAAGATTGAAGATTTCTTCAGTGTGCCATACAAATAACCTTTCGTAAACTAATAGCTGTATTTTTTGTGTATTGGAAATTTGGTCATAA